ATCCCCAAGCAGCAAGCGGAGAAGCACTTCCCCCTCCGAAACAACGATGTCACCTCCAAGAGCGTTCTCTTGAGCTTTGCACATGAAACTACATATATATCCTCAAAGATTGCGGTCAATAAACGGTCAAATAGATGGAGGATCAAATCATGTCAAAATTGCAAAGTTAAGTACTTAATTGGTTGAAATTGAAAATCGATGACCAATTTGTGAATTTAGCTATAGTCGAGGGACCATTTTGGGTATTTACTCTAGGATCAAATGTTGAAAGAGTAATAGTCGAAGGCTAAATGTGGAAATAATTCAATAGTCATGGGACCAAAAATGAAAATGATAAAGTTGCCTGCTAAAGTAAAATACTACCCCCAACTAAATTGGTCAAGTTATTGATTTAGTAATTACAAGGTTACAAGTTCAACTTCAAAGAGTAAATTTGGTCAACGGTAATATTGATATAAGGTTAATTTTCAATATTTTAAAAGTTCATTTTTTTTTTTTTGTGTAATAAATCATGATCGATATTTTGTGGATCGAGATCCACCTTGCAATGTGGATCTGGATCCAAAGATACACAATTTACATATTAAATATTTACAATTTGTGATGACCCTATATTTTATTCATAAATTTCTAAAATTTAATAACACAATTTATATTCTAAAAGATTACAATTTCAATACTATAAATATACAATTTAGGACACGGGTCCACTTTACAAGGTGATTCCTAGTCCATAACGATTGATAATTTGCCATTTGCCAATACCAAAATAATTTTCATTTGGATACTATCAGGCCTGGATCTGTATGGTATAAATGGGCCTAATGAGTGCTTGTGAAAAATGTAACCGGGCTGAATAGCAAGCGCCTATTTAATATGGGCCATAGAAGCCCAAAATTGGCCCAAAAAAGTAGCAGTCCGCCAGTCCCTATCACTAAACTGCCACGTATGTATACAAAGTGTCCCAATTACAGATTTACAAAAATTAGTTAATTTTACCATTATCTCACTTCAGCAACAAAAAAGCAGAAGAGAAGAAAGAAGAAGAGACGCGGCAAATGGGGCAATCTTCGTCCACCGACCAACTGTCGCCGGAGCAACGGGAAGCAGAATCCATAGCTGCGTCCACCGGAGCTCTCCCGAAGCTTCAAAAAGCATTTTCTGTCCTCTCCGATCCCCAAACGAACTCCATTCCCATTGAATCGCTTAAGGTACATCACAGTTTGATGATTTCCTGTTTCCCCTTCGCAAAAAGACGCAATCTTTATAAATAAAATTGGATATTTTTGTGAAATTGGTTGAACCCCCTTTGAATCTGTATCGGTATTTGACCGTAGTTTGCGTTGGTTACAGAAATGTTTCAGCTTTACCATTGAGAACTCCGGGAACGAAGGAAATGGCGTACCTAAAGATTTCCCGGTCTTGTTGAGTTACTTGAGTTCTTGCATAGTTGACCTTTTTTTCTTCTCTGATGGAGAAGTGGGCTGGATTGAGTTCTTGAAAGGGTATTCCAATTGTTGTGGAATGACAATTGGTTCAGCTTCTTTCAATAATTTGTTTAGGTTGTTTGCCATGATGAGTTCAGAAGCAGGTCTTCATACAAAATTGCAGTTTGTGTCTAATGATGATGACAATAAAGTCAGTGGGTATCTATTGTCTGTTGAATTGTTGATGCTTCTTTTGATGTGTTGGGTTATGTGGTGGGATTGTAAGAAACTAAATTCTGGTGAGTCTTTAGTAGGGGATTCTGGGCTTCCAGATGTTACTCATTTGGTATGGTCAGCCATTGAATCGTGTGCTGAGGAAGGCGGTAAGTTGGACTTGTGGGAGTGTAAAGCTTTAGAAACCTATGTTCAGCTTCCTGCTGCTAAGATCACTATGTGGGCGTTAAAGACGGTGCCAAACCTCACAGATTGCCTTTCGCATTTTGTTCATGCCAGACTTTCTTACTTGGCAAACCTTGAGGTATTTCATTTTCATTCGCACTACTCTGTTTGCTGTTGTGGTGTTGTCTATGAAGTATGAACTAGATGGTGCCTGCTCGATGAGAACTGAATGAATTGTATTGAATAAACTTGATTACAAAGATACAGGATACATGAATATATATAGTGAGGGAATCTAACTCAAATACATAGAGTCCTAATAAGCCAGAGTTCTGTTTTTGGATTATACGTGACTATAGTAGTATCTCGGATGCTAATTGTATCTCTAACCAATGCTAGGACAAATCAACCCAGCCGGTGCCTTTTGTGTTTGATATTTCCCCGAAGGAGAATTCGATTAGCAACCTCATTACTTGTGGGAGGGCGTGGGCTATCTCCCTTACACTGAGGGGCACTATGAGTGACGAGATTTCAAAAGCATGCTTTCCAAGTAGTGTGGATGATTTAAGTGACATGATTCTTTATCGGTTCGTATACTCCTTCCTTCTATGGTTTATTCCCACTACTAACTTTAAAGTTAATATGCATTTTATGGACCGGAGCAAAACCATGCTTCTAAAGATCCAGTCTGTTAACCAGCTTGTTTGGCGTGAGTGGCCGTGCACTCTCATCTCTTAAAAGAGGTCGGTAGTTCGAACCCCCTCTCATATGGGAAAACCAATCTGGCCAGCACTTTGCCCCTTACTTGGGTCGGGCCGGTGCGAATGGAGATTAGTCTGAGTATGGTACGGGCTTAAAGGTGTCTCCTACAGTTAGGGCCTGCTCAGGACACCTCATGGTCTGACCAGAAAAAAAAAAAATCCAGTCTGTTGTTGGTTTCTTGCAATACTATCATCTATTTTACGAGAGTATAACCTCTAATGATTTTTCTTGCGAGTCTATATATTATTAATAAGCAGAAGGTAATTTTTTTTTTCTCTGAGTTTATTCAACTCATTGGTTCATGCCTCTATTTGAAATTTTAGGTCATCAGTCCATGGGAAAGGTCTGACCAGATTTTGGTCAAACGTTGAAGGCTATAATGCTCCATTGTTGATTTTAATTGCTGCTTATGAACCTAAAGATGGTGCTGAAAGGAAATGGATTATTGGTGCTCTTATTAATCAGGGTTTAGAGAGCAAGGATTCGTTTTATGGAACTTCTGGTAGTTTATATGCTATTAGTCCAGTGTTTAATGTTTTCTCATCCTCGGGTAAGTAATTTTGTTTGCATAATAGATTCTTAATGAATTTTTTCCCTATGTTAAGTACTATGTATTAAGAGCATAACAAGTACTTAATGCTTGGCAGGGAAGGAGAAAAATATCGTTTATAGCCACTTGCATCCAACTTTTAAGATGTATGATCCTCGTCCAAAGCCTGTTGGGCTTGCTTTTGGAGGATCTCTTGGCCACGAGAGGATATTTTTGGAAGAGGATTTTGCGGGAGTCACTATACGTCATCATGCTGCTGACAGAACCTACCAACACGGTTCGCTTTTCCCTGGTCAGGTCAGGATTACAAATTTAAGGTTGATATAGTGTTCGAATGTTATTTTCCCCTGAAACTATTGACACCTTGTGGGATAACCTAGTTTACGGGGAAATATTGTTGTTGCTCAATGCTCTTACCAAAATTGCTTACCCCCTACCCTACCACCCTTTAGTCCAATTTTTTTTTAGGTGACCATGTAAACATGCAGTCACTACTCGAGGGTGTGCACTGGGTAAACCTCGTCTTGTGGCCCTAGCCGGCAAAAGATCAGGTCGGCTCAAACCAAGGAAGCCAATAGACCTCTCCCGTTGGGAGTCGAATTTGTAACCTTGGGGTTACCAACTCAACAGTCTGATCAACTTAGCTGGGGTTGTTCTCAACTACAATCTACTTTTAAACACCTCTTGATTGATTTAGGATTTCAATACTTAGTAATGGAATTCTTGAATTTGCCGATATCTAGTAAAACACGAGTTTTCTATTTGTCTCCCACTAGTAAATTTCAATCTAATTTTGTTGGACCATTTGCTCATAACATCCTTGCATAGAAACTATATGGAATTCAAATGATTGAACCATCATAATCTATAAATTTTTGCTGCTCCCTTCCTTTTCTTGTCCCGACAGGGTTTCTTGACACATGAAGCTTCAGTACTCGACGTTGAGGTGTGGGGATTGGGAGGGAAAAAAGCGAAAGAGACACAAACAGCGTATAAGAGAAGGGAGGAACTCTTTACTGAGCAAAGGCGGAAGGTAATCCACTTTAGGATGTAGTTCTGCATGAGATTATTCATTCCATTTCGCTTTTCTTCTGATTTCAAAAACTTCGAGATTTATGGGAATCACAAATCAATGCTTGACAGATTAGTTGATAAGAAAACCTTGGTGTTGCATATATTCAAGAACTGATTAGTTTATGACAAAATCAAATCCTAAACCATTTTTGTTACTGACCTCCTTCCATGGCAGGTTGATCTGAAAACATTTGGGAATTGGGAAGACTCCCCTGAGAAGATGATGATGGACATGATAACGGATCCCAATGCAGTCCGCCGGGAAGATCGATAGTCGAGAAGATTCAACGACGGTCTATAACTTTATATGAACTTGAAAAAATCATAAGTGGACTCTCGAGGAGCAAAACTATCGTCATATGTTTTGATTTGATTTTGTTGGAGAAAGAAAAAGGAAAGAAATAAGAATCACAACTCACTTTTTTTCTGGGTGAATTAGAGGTGTCATGTCAATAGGGAGTGAAAAGTGAAAGTATGTGCAGTAATATTACTCTATGAATTTGTGTAAGTGAAAGTATGTATAGTAATATTACTCTATGAATTTGTATTCCGTACAATGCTCTGTATATATTTGGAAAAATATATATGTTTTCTTTGAAATTAGTCCTTTAGAAATAAGATTCTTATTCAATTCTTAACTTATTCAGTTACTTCATTCTTTATATATAAAAAAAATGATTTGTATCTCCCAATTGTCAAATAAAATTGAAAAATTAAACGTTTTGGACAAATCACATAAAGTTGACTATTTACCAGCACAAGTTACTGGGCATACTATACACAGAAGATTTGAATCCAGAAAAGAATATCCTTTATATATTTCTGCAGTTTCAATCAAGCATCCCAGACTCCTCAAATCAAGCCAACACTAGTCAAGACACTGATATGATATACAGTATATTGTCCAAGAAAACATTTCAATAAACCTCTCAAGAACCCCAAAAAAAAAAAAAAAAAAAAAAAAAAAGACCCTCATGACAAAAGAAACTCAACACAAAGAAGCAATAAGCATTGTAATGGGGTAAATATACATGAAACCTTGCTCTTTCTACATCACAGTCTCCCACGAATAAATAAAATACTCCAGATGATCTTTGGTCAGATATTCATCCCGTCAACATTTCAGTCGACGCTTTGTTCAGATTCACCTCTGCCACCTTCTCTCTGGAGGGCGAAAAAAAAAAAAAAAAAATTCAGAAAGCAAGCAAAAGATTATACATGAAATGAAAATAAATCCAGGTCCAACATATAATGCCTATGATCAACCAAGCGAATTTTAGTTTCGGGTTCAAGGAAGTATGGCTATGTCCAAACAATAGACATATACTCAAGATAATTTTAACCCGGTATGGTTTAGCTGGTTCTTCTTTTATGCCATCTATAAAACATGAGAGCAGAGAGAATGGTATAAAAAGGCTAAGATCCATAAATACATGCATTATGGATAAGAATAAACAAGTGAAGTGATATGGAAATACTTCCTAATTGATTCAAGTTGTTGTTCATAACATGAACTATAATTATGGAAATATAAGTGTGGTCAACATAAGCTTTAATGAGTACATACTAAATGCACAGAAGTATAAGGTTTAGAAAATACCAAGTGGAGACTGAGTTCCATTTCCTTTTGCGGTCTGTTGTGCCTGAGACAGAGACCGCTGAATCCTAGGTGAGTCCTGCCTTCCATTTGAACCAGGCAGAGAATGTCTCTTTTTAATGTAAGCATCCTTGTTATGGACATCGGGGCTTGATCTGGGAGAGCTGTTTGGGATAGCCTTGGCTCTTGCCGATTCTGTTGCTTGCATGTAACTCGGGAGAGAACTACTGCTACTGCTATCTCTTGGTTCCTGATCCACGTGTTCACTTTTTGCAGAACCAAACGAGTTTCTCCGCTTCCCACTTCTCTGATCCTTAGGTAATTGATCCAAACTAGTTGTCCCGGCATCTTGGTTAGGGTTTGAAGGGGATTTGTTTCCAGCAGATGATGACAAGCGACGCTTGCTTTTTGATCCACCTTTTTCACTTTTGGTCTTAGGTTTTACCGATACATTACTAGAAGGTGTACCTTGTTGGGATTCGGGAAAAGTTACATGGCTCCTTGGAGATGGCTCGGGTGATGACTTGGATACCTGACAACCCATCTCGGATCCAGGCTCAATCTGCACATCAGTCCCATGTGTCTCGGGCTTCTGCTCGAGATGTGGTAAATCGGGAGCAACCATAGTACCAGTATGTTCACTTATCCCGGGCTGGATAGAATCAACGTTTGGAAGTTCATTCCCTGAACTTGTCTGATCATGAGTCTCGATATCCAGATTCTCATTGCTCTTATGATGATGTGGGGCAGTAGTATCCATGGAAGTTTTTGATTCCTGCTCAAACTCGTGAACTCTAGCCTCAGACCTATCTGGTGAATCGAGTGTGGAAGAAATAGAAAGTTCAGTGCCACATTCAGATCCCCCGACTTGAACAGAACTGTGTAGACCAGGATTCTCTGATAGGCTCGCCTCACTTGTCTTCACTGCATTATTGGTGGCAGATGATATTGTATCGGCAAAAGACTCTTCTGTTTCAGTTTCTTGACTGCACAAACTCGTTACTTTCCCAGAACCGGCTGACAAACTTAGTACTTCAAATTTCGACTGAGCAGCAATAAACGCGGGATTACTTGCCTTTCTAGATCCAAAAGATAACTTTTTCCCCTCTAGTTGCTCGGGGGCAACCCTCTTCCCCGAGTGTAGTTGTTCATTCTCAGTTTCAGTCTTAAGAGGGAAAGAATCATGCTCTTCTAGCAGTACCGCCTTTTCCCTGGATGGAAGAGGTAAGGAAGAACCCGACTCATCTCTTGAAATCTCTTCACCGAGATCCTGAGGCTTAGGTTCTTCTTGTTTATGAGTTAAATCAGGCAATGCTTCAAAGGATAACCTGTCTTCATCATAAGTGATCAAATTTTCATCATTTTCGGATAGTACTGCAGGTGCCTCTTTACTAGACTCGATGTTTGTTGATTCGAGTTTACTTGCAGATTGAGTTTCAGGTTCCAAATGGTCGTCCAAGTGTTCAACCTCTTCCTTTTCGTGCTGTTCAGCAGGTATTTCTGTGCTTGGGGACAACCTTGTTGAAACAGACATCCATCTTTCTAACCATACCCAGGAGGAGTCGGATTTTGAAGGATCACACTTGATGTTAGTTTTGGTACTTGGAGATGATACCAGAAGCTTCCCCAAATAAGAAAAATAAGTCAGTTTTGGGGAAAAACAGAGGATGAAAAAGTGTAGTACGATGCATGTAATTTCACATGATTCTTTGTTACCTGCCGAGCAAACCTATTGCTTAGTAGCTTTTCAATGGAAGTGTAAGATGCCCGTGACTTCTTGCTAGAATTTTCTGTTCCCTAAAAGACAAAGGAATTCATCGTTACAAAATTCATAGGCAAGAGCAAGTAATTCAATGACATAAAAGAACATTTCCATTTGAAATGTTTGACATGAAGAGGAAAGGAAGGAGCAAAGTCAAACTTGCAAAAAAATCTCAACATCCCCCCAAGGGCTAATGTGCAGTTATTACTCCTATAGTGAAAAGCAAGATATTTGGGGCAACCCCAGTCCCCAGCCAAGTTGGTCGAACTGTTGACTTAGTAACCACAAGGTTCCAAATTCGACTCCCAATGGGAGAGGCCTATTGGCCTTCTTGGTTTGAGTCGGTCAGCAATGGGCAACCTAGGCTAGTTTACTTCCTTGTGATCCTTTGCTGGCTAGGGTCACAAGGCAGGGTTTACAATTTACAGTTTACCTAGTAATCCTATTGGCCTTCTTGATTTGAGTCGGTCAGGTATGGGCAACCTTGGCTGGTTTACCTCCTTGTGATCCTTTGCTGGCTAGGGTCACAAGGCAGGGTTTACGGTTTACGGTTTACCTAGTGTACACCCTCGGTTGTGGCCCATGGAATATTTGAATTGAATAATGGCTAGAATCGTAGTTAGAGAACATTTTTAGATTATCAAAAATTCAAAATACAATATTGGATTTTATTCCCGAGTTAGATTTAATTACCATATTTGAACATAGATGATCTTTCTCCAACTTCTCATTCCCTTCAATATGGCGATGTGCATGACGAGCCCGAACAAGAGCTTGCATTTTGACAATAGCTTGAACACACCGTAGAGTTCCCACGGCATGCCTGCGAACTAGATGCCCCCGTACAGCAGCTTGAAGTTTGATTACTTTCTTATGCTTCAATAGTGAGTTTTGAGCCTAAAGAAAAAGGATCAACAGAATAATTATAACCACTCCATTGCATTTCGCCTATCAAACGGTTTGATAATGTCTTTTACTTTAAAGGAAGAGAATAAACAAAATACCAGAAACACCCTGATAGCGGTCTGTATAACAATAACATCTTGTTCCTTCAGAGTTATGTTATCTTTATTATCATCCACTTCACTAGCTGCAGCGTCCACTAACTTTTCGTGAATTGAAATTGGAGACTCGGGTTTCTCATCTGCACACTCAACAGTGGAGGGCTTCTCGGGAGTATTGGATTCAGGTTCTTTGGCATCTGTCCTCTCAGGAACATTGGACAGAGGTTCAGTTGCGCAGGTCTTGTCTGGAATATTGGATTCAGGTTCTTTGGCATATGTCTTCTCAGGAACATCGGACAGAGGTTCAGTTGAGTAGGTCTTGTCTGGAAAATTGGAGTTAAGTTGTTCTGTGGAGGCCTTTCCCGGAGTACCAGAGTTAGGTTGTGCTTGAGAGTCGATGCCAACTGATTCTGAGCTGTCCTTATTCCCGGATTGTGTTTCTGAGACCACCGTGTTGCTCAAAACACGATGCCTTGCAGATCTCTTACGGAAACTCCATCCGCGTTTGTCACTCGAGCCCTTAGACTGGAAAAGAATTTCAAATTACACAAGCTCAATATAAGTATTCACCAAAATCAGTTGCCAATTAGATTGGTTACAAGTAAATTTGTACTGGCAACAAGCAGAACAAAGTCATGTTCCTCGTGGATATCAGATTCCCATGAACAAACCTACATTGCCTAGTAAGCTGATAGTTGGATTGCACATTCGGGTGGCGCGGAGATTCAAACCCATGACCTTTGGCATGACTCTTATACCAAAGTATAAATTGAAGAATGTGCTACATCTCAACTAAAAACAACATATGCTGATAGTTGGACTGCACATTTATGGTTATATGCATCTACCTCCCACAATCCATTCTAACCTTAAAATTCTTTAAAGGAATCACAATTTTAGATCAAAATTTAATCATGAAAGCATAACCTGCACTTTTTCATGCTAAAGAGACAGATCTTGATGCAATGATTTGAACTCCTATGCTGGCATTATTATTATTAAGAACAACAAAATCCACTCAAAATGGAGAACATAGGATGAAATATGGGATTTGTTCAAGACAACTAAAAAGAACACATAAACAATAGATTCCTAACACAGATTGATCAAATATAAAGCTTTGACTTATTTGTTTAATCAATTACTTTCGTAGGATTGTAGCAGCATTATCTAATCAGAGCTGCCAAACAACCAGCGAATCAAAAGATCTGAAACGTGAAACCAGTCAAAACCCAACACCAAAGAACAAATCTTTTAGAACATGAAGAATGTGTATACCTCAGGATCTTCAACTTCATCCCTGTCAGCTGAATCACCGCCACAAGCGATGATCTTGAAGCAAGTTGCTGCAGATCTTCCCATCTCTCCCTCTCTCTCTAGTCTCTAGTCTCTAGAAGATAATAACGGTAACAGTCTCTAGGCTTTGTTGGTGTTGTACATTTGATATGGTGTTTTTGTTGTTGGGAATTGTACCCAAAATCCGTGAAAGAGAGCTGGTAAAAAAAGAGGAGCAGCTTTAGGCTTTTGACCCGGCCGGACCTGAACACACTCCTAAAATCTAGCTAACTTGCGTGCTTCAAATCCGCCCTCATCTATGGAACATTATCGACAAAACTTACGGCGCAGAAACATGACAAATTATACATTGACCTGACGTAAATTCTGCACACCATGCCTTTTATCCTCTGCACCCATTCTTCATACTCATCTTTGTTTTTTTTTTTATTTTAGGACAGAAAAAAATCCGCAATCACTATTTAAAGTGACAGTATATATCAGTCTAAATTATTTATAATTGATCAATTCAAAATAAGAAAATTAATAGATTGCTACTATTAAGAATTAAATTTAAGACATTCTAGTTACCAAATTAAAATCTTTCATCCATTTCAAACTTCTCAATCATTATCTTTGCTTAACTACTTAGATTACTAAGATTAGATGCACAAAATTACAATTTTATAAATTACATGTATCCATCCACATAGAATTTGTGAAATGTGTATTGGCATTTGGCATCCAACATTTAATGAACTAAAGTTAAATTATATGGTGCGTTACGAGGAGAATTTGTATATGAATATCATTAATGCAGTCTTCGAATTAGTAGAGAGAGATTGAAATTATTATGCTATATGACAACATACGTGATGGGGACAATATGGTTCTACAATTTGTAAAGAACTTATCGAATGGGATTAAGTCACTTTAAGTGACAGATTGTGTGAAAGTGGCTTATACATATTTTGTTTAAGTTTGTTATTTAGTTTGTTTTGTCTCTTTGGTGTGTATATATAATATATTTTATTAACAATGTTGTTACATGTGATACAATGTGGTATAAAGTATAAATAATAGTCATGAATAAAGGTTATTGGATTGTTAATTTGTTATACAATTAGGATAATGCAATAATGCAACTTATATTACGGAATAAAATTTAAGTGAAAATTACACGTTTGATTACTCAATTTTTATATATTATGCAATTTAATTTATCATTGTCACTTTTTAAAAATTCTAAATATATATATATATATATATATATATATATATATATATATATGTGTGTGTGTGTGTGTGTGTGTGTGTGTGTGTGTGTGTGTGTGTGTGTGTGTGTGTGTGTGTGTTGGGTAAGAGAGAAAATTTGGGAGATGCATGTGAAATTAAAAATAAATAAATAAATAAATAATTAATTAATTAAAGTAAAATTTTAAAATGAACTAAATGGTACTTAGAGCATCTCCAACCCAATTTACACCAAAATACCAAATTTCTCCACCAAATGTCACATCAGAAAGAATATTCTTACACCAAATTTTATTCAATCTCCAACCCATTTACACCAAAACACCAAAACATCAAATTTCTACACTAAAATAATTTGATTTCTCAATTATTAGTTCGAATTTAATTTGTTTAATATAATTTAGTTCGAACTTAATTTGTTTAATATAAAATATAACTTGTGATGTAAATAAAATTTTTTATTAACATTAATTTTTTTTATAACATTAATTATTTTAAAAAATCAAATTTAACAATATTTTTGAAAATTTAATTTATTCCACAATAATAATATAGCATAAAATTTAATTTTTATTATTATGTTTTAGTTATGTTTAATGTATTTAAAATTTTAATTAATCTATATTCAATATTAGTCTTGTTTCGATCGTTTCAATGAGATCTTTCAAATGGTATAATATATATTTAATAATACAAACTTTAAATATAAGTATTTAACAAAATAAAAAATTATATATAAAACAAATAAGGATACATTTGGAATTAGAAAAGGAAATAAGGGTAGGAATGTAATTTGGCAGCTCCTCTCATATTTGCCGTAGATAAACAGTGCCGCGCCAAATATGGCGCAACACTATTCATTAACGCCAAATAGTTTGGCGTTATGCCGTTATGCAGCACCACATTGGAGCTCCGAAATTAGGGAAGATGGCGGGATGGCGTGATTTTTTGCAGTTTTACCGCTACATTGGAGATGCTCTTAAGAGACCTATTGAATTGACAACTTTTAAAATAATTGATGAACTAAATGTCTACAAATTAATAAAGGGAACTTAAAGTGCATATGAAGGACAAAAAATGTGATTTTCCAACATTTAATTAATATGTTGACTTGATATAATTTTATTAAGCCATAGTTATTAGTAAATACATAAATAATAAATAAATATAAATATCTTGATACTTGTTTCAAACTAAGGCTATTCTTATTTATGTAATACTCTCTCACTTTTAAAAATGAGTCACACTTCCACATCATCAAATTTGTAATTTATTCGCTATTTTCTCTACATTCCTGTAATATTCTATCACTTTAAAAAAATGATCCACTTTCATATTATATTATAAATATGATAATAAAATAAAAATAAAAATAAAAAAGTAATGGCGCAGAAGCTTTTACTGCCAAATGATAGCAAAAGCTATCATTAACAAATTTGCTAAAGTAGCAAGTTTGCTAATCATGTATGCATTAAAAAAATTTATATTTTTTCCATGTAAGTAGCCTAAGTCATGACAACAATAAAAATTATAATGTGTGTGTGTTTTTTTTTTTTTTTTTTTTTTTTTTGTAAATTAAACGAAACAGTCACATCTATTGTTTAAGATTTTTTTTTTTTTTTTGTTTTATACTTCTTATTTCCATTTTTTAAAAAATTTTAAACTCACAAAAAAACAAAGAAAATTAAAGGTGTGGCAGATGCTCAGGAAATGTCATTTTCTGTAATTGAATTTTAAAAATAAAACTGAAAACAAACTATAAGGTAGATGATGACAGTTAAACTAAAAATATAATGATATTTTTGTTTTCTTCTAATTTAAGGGAGTTTAGTATGATATTATATTGTCTAATTAAGACTCTAGAAAGTCGACAGAGTTTTATATTGTAATTTTATAATTATATTTATAATGATTTATAGCTATCCTATAATCCTTCTCTCAAAAAATTGAATCCCCAATCCCAAGGGCTCCACCATATCCCGGCGAAGCATAGTATTTGGGGAATTTAATAACGATGACTCAATGACTCAACAGTTATGTCAAATGTCAGTGTGCACAAGGAATCTACCCACTTTGGACATAATCTCTACACAACCGCCGTCGAGATAGCTATCCATAATCCTATGAATAGCCCTTAGGTTATCATTTTTCTTAAATGTTAATTGCAATAATTGATGATAGTTGTCTCACTAAATTGTGAACTCAGATCCATGTACTTTAGATCATAATTATAAGTTAACACAGCTCTAACTCGCTGCCTTAATCATTCATTAATCACAATGATGATATATAACTCAGTAACATATAGTTAAATAAATATGTAATCATGGATTGGATTTTTTGGTATATTTTAGTGGAACAATTATTGAATCTATGATATCTTATCTTAAAATTATGGATCTATATCATTATCAGTATATTATAAAAATGTTGATATTATAAATTGGATTCTATTATATCTTCTGAAAATAATGAAAAACTTTGCAGGTATGTTTATAACTTTTTGTTCTTAATTTGAAGAGGAAAACTGCGAATTGAGATAGATTTTAGGGTTTAAATTCATTTATTCATGTTCAAATTGGGATCTTAATTTGAAAATGTGAGAAATACTCTTAATAGTTTAATATTTCGACATGTCTTAAATGAATGGGTGACTGACGTGATTAATTTTGACATTAAAATAATACTTATAGATAGAAATTGGTACTAAAATAATAGTCGTAAATGAAAATTGGTAAGAATTAAATAGAGAAAATTTCAATTTTGGTCATACGACTATAGGGGCCTTGTTAATTTCAACACCTAACTTTCAAAAATATCAATTCAGTACCTTGAGTATGTAATTTTTCTCAATTTTGATCATTCCGACTAATTTACCGGTCAAATTCGACCGGAAAAAATAATAGGCACAAAACTGAGGGGCAAATGAGTATTTTCTCTTGCCATTTAGCTTAACTAGACTTCAGTATATGTGATCTGATCTGCAGTAATGGCAAAACCCAGTTGCTTGCGTCCGTTGTTCTCAATGTTCTTGTCTCTTCTCGGCCTCCTCCTGCTCCATCTCGGCTGCTTCATCTTCTCATCCTCCTCCTCCTCCTCCTCCGCCGTCGCCGACCACGACCGCCCTGATCAGCCGCGGCAAAGTTCCGGCCGGAACAGAAAGGTTTCTTCTTCTTCTTCTTCTTCTTCTCGTCTCAAATGATCTACCGTCGGAGCTGTTTCTGCGTCTTGGTCCTTCGTTAAGAGACTCTTCAACTGCGCCGCCAAACCCGCCGCCGTCGCCACTCCTCCCCCTCCCCACCCGTCAATCCCGTCGCCGTGTTCCTCCACTAGATCCCTGACGAAACCCATCGTTATCCTGCTAGCCTCGCCGGACAAGCTCTCCCCTGATCCTCTTTCCGATATCTGCTCCGACCAACCCAACATCCCGCTCCGGAACAATATCTACCCTTGTACCCTCTGCGGCGAGATTTTCCTCGCCACCAATCTTCTCGAGCAGCACCAGTTCATAAAGCACGCGATTTCGGAGCTTGTGGATGGAGATTCCGGCAACAACATTGTCCAGATCATATTCAAAACCGGCTGGCCGTTTGTTGGTCGAAATGAAAAGACTCATTTGCCTCTCAGTTTTGTGCCTATTATTTTTTCCGGTCGAATTTGACCGGTAAATTGGTCGGAATGACTAAAATTGAGAAAAATTATATACTCAAGGTATTGAATTGATACTTTTGAAAGTTAGGTGTTGAAATTAACAAGGCCCATATAGTCGTATGACCAAAATTGAAATTTTTTCAATTAAATATATGAACTAAAATTATCATTTTGTTAATACTTATGGGGCCAAAATTGATATTTGTTCATTTGTAAGTAACGGAAGACCAATCCAAATGACGGAGTGAGTAATTTATCTTAACGGTCGTGACAACGCCGTATTTTCTGGAGTCTGTTGTTGGATGGTAAAAGACAGTCCAAGTAATGGTGTCTTAACGCCGTCGGACAACATTTTGACAACTAATTTGTCCGCATCTGACAAGCTGCCACGTATAGTCGACACGTTCTGAGCACGTGAGGCTTCCTCAGATTCCACTACTGTCAACTTTTAATGTTGAACTGTCCAATAGCCGTTCTGCTTTGGTACAGGCAATATGGGTCGTGTCTCAATCAGATAACACTATTTATATTCACAAACTGAGTTTAGGCATCCAAGAATCATGATACATATTTATTGATTTCTTTAAAAGAATAATAATTTCATACTCCTTATATAATATTATGACAAATAATAATAAAGTGAAATGTACTACTGCTTTTGTTCTATTTTATGTGTTGGTGTTCGATTAACAAAGATTAAGTAAAGTATACATTTTAAAGTTTCTTATATTCTAAATGCTCATTTGACAATTTTCTATAGTATATATTATTGTGTACTTAGGGGTCGTTTGGTTCACGGAATGTCAGGTTACCTTAGTGAATGTTAGAATCCTGTGTTTAGTTAAAATTGAGATATGTAATATAAAGCTGTTTGGTTGAAGGGTTGTTCTTTATATTATAATGGTTATTTTACTTTAATACCCTCAATATTTTTCATGCATTTCAATATATATATGAAGTTCAAAAATTTTGTATTAACTTTCACTGAGTATGTGTGATGCACTTCAATTTTAATTTGTATGAACTTTCACAGCAAAAGAACCAATTCTTATACTAGGCATAATGAGAAGCAGTAAGATTGCAAAAATAATTGCTCATTAAGGGAAAAGTTAACATTAACAAGGATTATAGAATCAGTGAACCATGCAAAAAAATTGTGTTCAACGATGCGAGAGAGAAACCAAGAAATATCAAACGCAGAGTTCGTAAAAGAGTGGAGGGTAGAGTCTATAAAAAAGCAATGGAATGTTACATAACCTAAGGAAACCAAGGGAATCACATTCCCTTCAAAATAAGGAAAATGCTTATGTGGGGGCTAAATAAGATTCTAAGGGAATGTTAGAAAACTTCAACCAAACATAGGAATGTTATATAACTAGCTAAAGATAACCTTGGTTATTTAGGTTATCTTAGATAACCCGAACCAAACGCCCACTTAGAGCAATCTCACCAGCTCAAACTCATCATGATTTTTTTTAGTGGGACCCACGTCAAGAAAAAGAAAAAAAAAAAACATAACAAAAAAGTTAGCAACCATCCTGACACGCTCACTACGTGCATTGCGGATGCACACAACGCAAACATGTCTTGGATATGCCCTTAGGTTAGCATTATCCCTGCAAACATCTCCCACTCTAAAAGATGAGTCCCATTTCCACATCATCCTATTTGCAAATCATCTACTATTCACACCACATCCCTACAAATCTAATCAAATTTGCAAAAGGGAGTTCCACATATTAAAATAATATTATTAATTATAAAAAGTAAATAAAAAGAATAAAAAAAAAACAAAAAAGTACAAAAGCTGCCGCGACAGCTTTTGCAGAGGCTTTGCAAATTTGCAAAGCCCTTAACTATAAAAAAAAAAAAAATGATGATGTGGCTAATCCACATTATCTTGCCAATCCCTTCTTGGCTGGGATGTGGACAGCCTTATGATGAGCATATGAGCCGTCTTTAGCAGAATAAAGTGAAGATATCACATCAATATATATCCAATAGATTACTTTCAAAAAAAAAAATATATCCAATAGATTGGTGTTTGGATTCAAATGGAGTCTAAATTGTATTTTTAATGTATTATTTAATAATAATTGATAACAAAAAACACGCATCACTATTCACTACAATGTCTATCGAGAAACTAGAAAGTAAAATATGAAAGCGCCAATAATTTGATGATTAAATTCATTTTACTAGCACAGACGTATGTAGCAAAAATATCATATATATATATATATATATATATATATATATATATATATATATATATATATATATATATTTACTATTCTAACATCATCATCATCATTATTATTGACGGGCACCCAGTCGGTACCACCTAGCTAGTCGTGACCACAGTTCGATTCACGATTACACCAAATTGTAAACTGGAACTAGAGCCTTCTATTAAGGTTTCGATTTTGATTCATGAATCGGCAGTTTCAATTAAAATCGCCGATTCTAATCGTGGTTCCCCTCTATTTAAAAAAAATATATTAATGTTTTGTTTTAAACTTCTAATTTTGCTGCGCACAAATGGCACAATCAGAAACAATTCAAAGGAATTGAATCTCTGGCGCAATTAGAAACAATTAAACTTCGAATTTTGCGCCAGTCTACTAGCAGTGCAATCGTTATGCTGTGCATCCGTATGCACCATGCATGGTGCCTACGGATGCCAAAACGACGTCGTTTTATTAAAAAACGCCCGTCTCTCCTTTAAAAAAAAATTTAGGTTCGATTCCCAGCAACAACATTATATTGTTCATTCATTCTGGAATTTTAGTTCATAGATTATGGAAATATAGTTCATTGATTATGGAATTATAGTTACTCGATTATGGAATTGTAGTTCATCGATTCTGAAATTTTAGTTTATAGATTATGGAATTTTAGTTTATTCATTCTGGAATTTTTAGTTCATAGATTAGATTATGGAATTATAGTTCATCGATTATGGAATTATAGTTCATCGATTATGGAATTTTAGTTCATATGTTGTTGCTGGGAATCGAACCTGATTTTTTTATTTTTAAGGAGAGACGCGCGTTTTATTAAAACGACGTCGTTTTTGCATCAGTATGCACAGCATAATTTGCCCTAGCAGTGGCTTACTATGCCAGTGGGCACGGGCCACTTGGCCTATGTTTTGTTTTTTTTTTGTTTTTTTGTTTTTTTGTTTTTTTTTGTTTTTGTTTTTTTTTTGTTTTTTAATGGTTCTGGCACGGGAACTGTTTGATTCGAACCGAACAATGATTATATTTACACCTAGCAAACAGCTGAGCATGACATTTGAACTCAATAGTCAGCACTTGAAATATGACCAGTCAGCTTGGCTCCCTAATTATCCTTTCATAAATTTCTAAACCCATTATTGTTTCTCATAAATACAACTAATTACTCATAAATTTCAATAATTACCCTATTAATTACTCATAAATCCTAATAATTATTTATTAATTACCCATGAATATTCCCCTACTCATCATCTACAATTCTTTTGAGGGGAGAAACGAGAAGAGGAGGAGCGGTTGATCTACATATCGATAGACTAGAAATTAGAAAACATGCGGTGATATATGTACAAAATCTCCTATAAAATAGTGAATTTTTGATTTGGCACCGTCCAAAAAAGTCTGTGTTTTTTACCTTTCGATTTTCACGTTAAATTACTATCTCTATTTATTTTTTACATTTTATTTTTTTCATTGCATAGGTTATGTTGGCCCACCGAGTGAATGCCATTGGGTCACGAAACCAACAATTATTATTATTATTATTATTATTATTATTTGTTGGCTACTAATATGAAGCAGTATATTAATGTATTGTCAGAATATCATATGCCATGCATAATTGGATCCACCTTATTAAAAAAAAAACATGGTCAAAATTGAGAAAGAATCATTAAACTCACTACAAAGGTGTAATGTCAGTGTCTCATCTGGTGAGGATGCTTGTCACTTAATAAATGTAAGATGATAATATTTTAATGAGGAAAAATGACTGGCATCTTGGTATAACAGCAGGTCAATCTCAACAATAATGGAACCTTAATTTTCTTCCCAATTAATCTTTTTTTTAAAAAATAATAATTGTGGAGCCTTTAGCCACATGGAAGAAAGGGACAATAATTGCAAGACACAAAGAGTCATATTGCATCCTTCATTTTGGAGTGTTTCTGTGTAGGGTTGGTGAGTTGAAAATTGAAATCATCACACTATTTTGAGGGGAGTAGTTGAACCAACTAGTTAGAAAGATTGCACCTTAATCATGCCCAATCCATGCACCTTATCTTCTTCTTCATCACTTAATTGTCACCTTCTTTATAACTTTTATTAACAGACCAACAAAAGCTAGATTTTTGTTCACTGCGCATAAAGAGCGCCCCTCATTTTGAGAGATTGCTTCACATTATGGCTGGTGAGACTTGATCCTGGATTTCTTGTAACAAATTTCACCCTTGCGACCAGTTGAGCTGTCCATGCAAGCACCACTTCTCTTTACTGATATTGTTGGTGTTGCATGATCTAGATTAATGTTTTTTTTTTTTTTTTCCTTTCTTTTAGTTGTATTAGGAAAAAAATTTCTCAAGAAATATGGGAAAAAAAAACTCTTACTTTATACTTACCATGGTTTATTATATGAAAGAAGTGGAAACCAGATCAGAGAAAACATTAATGGACAGTTGGAAGCTCTTACAGTAATAAAATGCAGAAATTAGTATGCTGGCTGGGTATTCTCCATTTCATACTTGACTTCAAAAGCAACAATGATTGGAAAGGTAGGCCCTCACCATGATAAAAACATTCAATTCACAGGGATACACATGAACTGGAATCACTGCAACGTGCATTGCAAGAATGCTTCTATGCCCCACTTTTACTACTGATTGATCAACACATAATACTGCTATAATAATAAGTTTTCATCTACCAAGAAACTAAAAAAAAAAAAAAAAAAACAGTGTCTGATTCTGCACACCTCACCTAAGCTCAGAACAGGAAGGTATATATGAACATTAACACTATAACTCTTTTCAGTTGGGATTTCGGTGTTTTGTGTACTTTCGGGTCAGTTGTAGAGTCATTTGGGGATAGATGCAAGCACACAAAATGGTTAAAGAACGCGACGAAAGCAGGGTGAATGATGGGTCGTGCTTATCTTAAAGTATCATGCCTGTTAATAGCTAAAGAAACTATGCCAAACCTTCCAAGTTCAATGAAGAAAAAGGGCAATTATTTGCACTTGAATGAATCACGCGTATATAATAAATAGAGAAGTCTGTGTAAGGGCTTTTTACTTGTACTGTACTATCTTCAGATACTATGTGGTTGAGTAACCGTGAAGCACCACAACTTTGCTCCGACTGACAATGCTGATAGGCGGTGTAAGTTTTACTAAAGCCGTTGATGCTGTTCTTGATGCGCCTATTGGCAGTAGGAAACTTGGACTTGACCAGGCTGCTGACGCTGCACCTGAAACATATGATGCTTCTGGGAAATTTCACGAGGCACTTGATTCGAGAGTTTTCCCTCTTCCCTCAACTCACCCATTGCAAGCTTTAGACACTGGATTTCTGCAGATAGTGACTCGTGCAGACCTGCCAAATATAACCAAACGTAAATAAATCCCTTCATGACACATGATATGTGATATCTATAATAGATATTTACGCAGATAACTACTCTAACTAGGAGCGTGTGAAAACTGTATTTGAAGTTTGGGAAACAAATCTCAGGAATCAGGAAGAAAATTTGCAATGTTTGCACAAGGGAGGGAAGAAAGAGACGTCAGATCATCTTACACTTTATGGTGCAGAAACAAATTGAAAAATCAATAGGGAAATGGAAAATGCAGCAAAATAGGTTTATAATCTTTCTGTAATTCTGCTTTTAAGAAGTACTGAAATGACTTAAGTACCATCTCTGAGTTGTGCCTGGTGACCCATAGCTTGAAGGCGGAATTGCAATTCATTGTTCTCACTTTTAAGCCTGCTAATATCTTTCTGAAAAGAACAACAACATCAACAATGTCCAAAATAAACAATCTTGCATTTAAAAAGGGAAGATCATAGAAAGTTCATAAGCTTGCAAAACGCACCTGCAAAGTAGTAATTTGGGCTGACGATGTGGTTGCCTCCGTTTGCAGAGTATAAACCTTGTGTTCCAACTCTGAAATATACCGCATCTTTCGCTCCTTGGAACGAGCTGCAGAATGACGATTAGCCAATATTCTGCAAACAAACAAATTAAATGATTCCTTCATCCAGATACTTCAAAGATTGCAGTACTTTAGCAAGTACATCAGTACATGCCCATCACAGCCATACCTTTTCACCTGTTTAGGATCTGTCGTTGCAACCTCAGCAAGCCTTTCGTCAGCCATAATCTTTTTCAGCTCAGCTTCACTAAACTCAACACTTATAAGATCAAAATTCAACTTGGGTAACCTTTCATTCAACGAATTGCTAGGTGAAAGCTGCCCAAGTTGATTTCCCAGAGAAGTGGGTAACTTTTGTGACTCATCAACAGAGCTCAAATTTGGAAAAGCGCTATCCATTGAAAGACTCCTGAAGTGTCGAGTGACAGGCACAGTATCTCCAGCAGCACTTCTTTTAACTTTTTCTCCTGCACCTGCTGTGTGGATTTTAGCACCACTTTCTGTTTCATTGCTATTATCACCAGAGCTTATCTGCTTGGTCCCACTAACCATGCTATCCTTACTTTTATCCTCATTTCCAGAAGAGTAAAATGGTTCTAAATTACCCAAATTCATGTATGAAGAGAACAGGTTATGTATAACCCCTCCCTCAAATTTCTTTTCACCCATCCCCTTTGCATGGCTCTTGTCCCCACTACCCACATTCACTTCCTGTTTCTGCAGAAGAATGGGAGCATCTCTTCCCTGACAATCCCCCTGGCCATGCATGGGCATCATCAACTGAGGTGGATACTGAAAACTAGCCGAGATCCCAAATAGAACATCACTATTGGAACGACGATGGCCTTTACGAGGTGGAAGGCCATCACTACCTCGCAAAACATTCTCTCTGCCTTGGGAAGCACCATCTGCATCCTCAATGATTGCATCCTTCAAGCTATAGATAGCTGAAGGCATTGGTGGGCCACTGTGAGGAGAAGGGCTTAATGGAGGCAGGGAATTGTTTGCAAAAACAGTTGGCTGAGATAAGGACCTTGCAAGTGAAGCTCCCAACCCCATATTCTGATGAATTGGTGGATTGGAAATCTGCCGAGCCATCAGAACTAGGTGATGAAAAAGGCACAATGGTACTCACCTTCAACCTGAAATCACAGTAAAGACTCAAACTTTTCTTAATTATTTCCAGATTACAAACTTACAATCAAGACTAAAACTTTCCTCCCCTCCAATAATGCCCAGACCATAACCACACAGAATTTCACAGCTTTCATGAGAACCAACCCCCTCTAAACAAGTAAAAACAATCCCAATTCCCTGATTACCCTATCACTCCTAGAGTCCTAGCTCTTCCAATATCTAGTAGTAGTGTGAGAATTACACCTAATGTGGTGAGCTCTTTGTGGACACCAGACACTGGTCTCCATTAGACCGAGGTGTGGGCCCGGGTGAGGGAATTTTGCCTTTTGGGCTAAGGGCAAGGAGAACGAAAACTCAATAAATGCACTACCCCAAGAATGAGAATTGAGAAGACAAATCAAAAGAGCATGTTGGAGTATTACAGTAGAAAAGGAAGAAGTGCATCGCAGTTACCTGAATTGTTTGATTCACAGCGCTGAAGCCACGTATGTGTTTGTTGAAGGTGAAGACAGGAATAAAAGTGGGGGGTTTTTGGAAGCAGGATTTTCCCGCCGAATGGCGGTGATTGCGGTTAAAATTACGCGATTTTATCAAAGACTGATTGTCATGTGAGCGTTCCTCACTGTCTCAGTGCAGGCAAGCAGAGCAGGCATAGTGTTAACGCGCTTACAGTGGGAAGATAACAGAATTTCGAATTGACAGTGACCCCTTTGAATTGAATTTGTCATCAGTTTCATTTGCACTCCAGCTGCTTGCCAAATTGTCAGATTCCATGAGCAGCTTATTCGGCCTAGCCCAACTGGATATAATCTTTGTTGGCCCAACTAACTAGGAATTGCGCCCAAAGTCCCAAACCAAAACAATTCATGGACTTTTTTATGGCAATTTATATCCTACACCACGGCGCGCGTTGCACTATGCGCCCAGATGCAAAACGAAGTCGTTTTAATTATTTTTTTTTTTTAAATTTCCCGCCCCAATGAATGGCAGTAGTTTTTTCTTAAAAAAAAAAAACCCGTTGTTCAAGAATGTACATAATGTTATACTAGAATACACATAATGTTATACATGAATGTACATAATTATATAACAAAATATACATACTCTTTTTAAAAGATAATACACATAATCTAACATAATACATAATAAACATAAACTTTTAACATAATACACATCGACTCTTAACATAATACACATAAATTTTCTGATTCGGATGTACATAATTGTATAAAAAGAATGTACATAATTGTATAAAAAATACACATAACTGTATGAACCAATACACATAACGTTGTGAACAAATACACATAACGTTGTTAACAAATACACATAATCTCAGCAACTTCCTCCTGCGCCTCCCAACACTACCCCAAAACGACGTCGTTTTGGGAGGCGCGCGGCGCACAGTGCTATGTGCGCGGTGGTGTAGGATATAACGATTGCTTTTTTATGTACCTTGTTACTCGTATTAAATTTAGAGCAATCCTCGTGCCATGGACCAAGGTTCACAATGCATTGTGAATCTTGGGCATGGGGCATGTGTATGTGTCTTATGTTGTGAATTTTTTTGTTTTGTGTAATGAAATTTTATACTTTAAGAATATGAATTTTGTACCTGAAACAAATTAGTAATTGTGTCTTATGATATGAAGTTATGTGTCTTGTGTTGTGAAATTATGTGCTTATGAAAAATAAGTAAATATATAACATGTGTATATACTTTAGCTTGTGTTATGATTTTTTATGTCTTGTGTTATTATATTTTGTACCTTACGGATATGAATTATGTACCTCGTCGTTTCAATCCAAGGTCCATAATGTTATGTGGGCCCTGGTCCATGATATAAATTGCTAATTTAGAGCAATACCAATGAAGATTTTTATTGGGTCTTTTGTAGATTTTAAGTTGGGTGGATGGATGAGAAAGTAGGAGAGATGTATCAAGAGCATCACCAATAGTATATTTTGGGGGGTTTTTACATGGTTTTTGAGATAACAATTGCCAACATGGAAGAGAGAGAGGGAAGAATGAGAATGTGTGAGTTCCTCCGGCAAAGGAGTTTTTTTTTGCAGAAATGTGGGACCCATTGTTCAATCTTGCCATTCACGCCGTACAAGCGTGGCTGTCACCACTGCGCCCACCGGGCGCGTTTATGTGGATGTTTTTTTTTTTTTTTTTAATTTGCTTTATTTTATTATTTTTTTTCTCTTCCATCTCATCTTATTTTTCCTAATCACCCCCACAAAATCTCTTCAAAAATCACAACAAAAAATCACTATTGACATCATTCAAAATAAGATCAAGGGAGGAAACCCCACTACTGATGTAAGAAAAATAACTTATGACTTTACAAACTTAAGCCTTGCGTTTGTTAAGCGGTCTGCGAATAGAGCAACCCATGTAGCCATGTATTAGCTAGAAAAACTCTTTTTTTGTCGGACTACTCAGATTGTTCTCTTATTCCTTTTCCCTTCATTGCTCACGTTTTGAGCATGAACCTTACTTAATAAATTCTTGTTTTTTGCGTTATAAAAAATTCCACTATTAAAGATGCCCATAAAGATTGGATAGAATGATTGCGTCAACAAATGACAATGCTATAGGAAATGTGAGGTAGCAAAGTACGGAAGTACCTATTTGGCACTTAATGATATTTGTCACTTAGACAATAAAATGAAGTAATTACATCACTTTTTCTCTCCGGATGTCCCTTTTCCTTACACTTTGATGATTTTTATAGCTAAATCCGATCTTATTTTCCGCAATCACATGCCCACATTTTCATGGTTTTTATAGTAATTATTAAAATTTGTTAATTATAGTACAACATCATAGACGATTGTGTTAATGGTAAAAATTATGAACTGTTAATTTACTGTATGTGTACCCAGATTCCCTTGCTGGGTATTTCTCGATGAACCACGAAGAGAAGATAGTATCCAGACGGAGCCAGATTACCGGAATCCGGAGCCACCACGTCGATTCCGTACTCTTCTTCTCCGGCGGCCTTCACTTTCACGGTGTTCAGAACCAGTAACCGTTGGTTCATCGAGAACGAGTGTGTGCTAAACGCCGGCGACACCATTGTTACCTTAACTTGGCTCATGTCCACCTTGCCGGAAACCTTAAACTGAACGGACACCACTTCCCCGTAGCTCAGCCCCGACTGCGACGCCGGCGAAACAATCTCCGGCCGGAGGGCGGCGTATTTCGGGTCCAGGTACGACGGGGAGAACGCTTCCATGCTTAACTCCGTCGGGAAGAACACATTGGTGAACTTGTAGGTTGCGTGAGGGTTGCTGCCGGCGACGAGGACGCGGCCGTCGGTGATGAGAACGGCGGAGGAGTGATACATTCTAGGGATTTTGTTAGGGTTTTGGAGCTCGAATCGGGACCCGGGTGGGGCATCGGGGCGGTAGAGAACCGGGTGGAAAGCCGGGTTCCGGCCCAAATCCCACCCGGCGGCGCCGTTAGTGGCGCCGTTAATGATCAGAACATTCCCGGTGGGTAATATCACCATGTCCCCCATCACCCGAGGGAACGGCATCTCCTCCGTTATCCATTCCGGGTTCGGGTCGGTTATCACGATCCGCCCACAAGTATTCAATGCCCCAACGAAAATATTCCTTTTCGCATTATAATATGCGTCTTTTGGTGACCCACCACATACCAAAACTTCCGCCATGGTAGTTGGACCTTTCAAGTTCTTCAGAGGTAACAGAACCGCCGAGCCACTGCTCGGATAATTCCTCGGCTCGCCGCCGGGAATCTCCGGATACGTTCTCACAACAACGTTGTTAACATAATCCAGCAAGATTGCTCGGTTGTTTGCGAATATGAAGAGGTTTCCGTCGACGTTGAGGAGAACGAAAGGATATAAGTTATTCTCGGCGCCGAGTCCGGGATCAGTTGTCTGCGCTAGAAACGGGAGGGAGTAGAAGGTGTCCGCCGGGCCGGATTTCGGGAAAAACTCGTAGTTAAATGCTCGCCGGCCGCCGACGATGATTTGCCGGCCGTCCGGTAAGATATGATCGGTGGAGTACCACCTTGGTCGGACCAAACCGTACGGGATTTCTTCCCAATCACATTCCGCGTCATTGCATGGACTGAAACGCCTAACGACGCGGGTGCCTTCGCCGTAGCCGCCGGTTTGGACGAGGGTGCCGGCGGGGGAGACGGAGCCGGAGGAGCACCAGAAGTCGGAGAGGACGAGGACGGGGCGGAAGGAGTTGGACGCGACGTCGTACTCGACGGAATGGGCGGTGCAGTTGTCGTCCGGCGGTTTTCTGCCGCCGAGGCCGCCGCCGCCGCCGTGGTGGCATTTGCCGTCGGGCAATGAGATGTTGGAGGGGCCGATGTTGGTGCGGTCGAAGGCGACGACCTTGTCGTTGTGGAGGAGTTGCATGTGCATGGCGGAAATGCCTATGCTGGGTTGTAGTAAGTTCCACTTGCCGCCGCCGCGGACGGCGGCGGCGGCGGCGGTGAAGAATCCCCGATTGTGAAATGTTTGCGGCAGTAGAAAGAGTGTGAAGAAAAGAATAAGTTTTGGAGTCATTTTGTTGTATGTATTAGTTGTTTTCTGTGGTTTCGAGTATGGCATGCAAGAACATATGGGATGGTATTAATAGCAGCTACCCATAACCCATGCATGCATATATACTTATGCATATGATTTATAGATGATGATAGAATAGTAAATATCAAATGTACACACAAATGTTACAATTTAACTGCATTGCTTTTCACCTTATCAATATAGATTATATTGATAGTTTTTCATACATGAGGATCGGAGAATATACACGATGGTCCGGGTACTAAAAGTTGGGCGATCGGTTTGAGATGACATGTATGGTCTGTTTATTTTCAAAATCAGTGGACTTGACTTAAAGAAAATCAGTCTACACGTTCCCACACCGTCTCCACAAGAGATTGTAGAGTAATATTTAAGTCGACATCCGCGATGGCTTACTCTGATCTAGACGAATCAACCCTGGACTTTTCTCGACACCGGGTATCCCGCTTTACTCTAAATAACTTTCACTGGATTCTTCTCAGTTCACTTTGAACCTTATCAAGCACGGGTAGATCTTTCCCACCAGAGTCCTACCTATCAATAAGAGAACCAAATTAATTGATACCACACTCCAATCAAGCCCCTAATGAACTCCACCACAAAAGCTAGCTCATGAGTGGAGGTTTATTAGCCCCAACTTAATACCACTTTACAATATCTTGTGAAGCCGATATGAGATCATATTAGTCTAAAAGTGCTTAATTTGTTAAGATCAAGAAATATCAATTATACGAACTTGAGAATGCTATCCCAAACACGTATCTCCGATCCATCCCATCTTAAGAATCAAAATCTAAAACGCAAGACTGTACATTGTAAATTAAAGCTGGCAATGTTCCTTAATTTTCGGCTTATTATATTGATGACTACTTTGATGTCTACCCCTAGTTTTTGCTAAATCTGAAACTACAATTTACTTATTTAAAATGGTAACACAATTTAATAATTGTAATAAACATCCATATTAATTAAACACAAGCATAAATTACATAAAGTTCAAATTTGTGAGTCCACAATGTAACAGAAATTAAATATATGTTTTAGGGCAACCTAGTATAGTATGAGCTAGGTTGGTTATGGAATGGGACAACCCCATCTAA